TTACTTTTTGGGGGCATTTCATTTTCTTGGAATTGAATTTTGTTTTCAGGGGTCATTGGATTTAAGTGTAATAAATAAATGAATGAATGAATGAATGAATGAATGAATGAATGAATGAATGAATGAATGAATGAATGAATAAGATCTCATCACCGCGGGGAGGGAGGGCGATAACTTCCTCAGTGGCTCAAGGGGGCATTTCTTTCAAAAAGGTTAAGAACCACTGAACTAGATGAGAGCCACTCTGGGACAGAGTGTCATCAGCCCAAACAAAATAAATAAAACCTGAAGTGTCAGCAGCATTCTTTGCCTTACCAAAGGTGCAATGCAGTGAGTGGGGACGTTCTCCAAGGGGCTTATTTTCATGGGTGGTTCTTAAACAAGGGTACTGGTGAAGCTGAGGCTGATTTGGCACTGAGGCATCTAGCGTTCAAAAGATCACTTACAGAAGTGGTTCCCTACTTTGAGTAACCCAGATGTTCCTGGACCACAACTCCCAGAAATCCTGGCCAGCACAGCTAGTGGTGAAGGCTTCTGGGAGTTTTAGTCCAAGGACATCTGAGAACCCAAGGCTGGGCACCACTGGAATAAAGCATCCATCTACCAGTTTCTGGCCTTGCGGTTCTGAGGTCCCTCTTCGGTCCATGAACATGGTGTCAATTTCATTTCCGTCACAAGCTGCCAGCTTTGCTCGTTTTCCGTTGCACTTAAGAGAGAGAGAGAGAGGAATTGGGACCTTAAGCATCTGCTTCCTGTTTCAAAGACTCCCAAATGCCCAACATCTCAGGGTGGGGTGGAGAACAGAGCAACAAATTAGGACTTTTGCATTAGCTGGGGACGGGGTAATTGTACCTTAGAAAAGTTAATTTTGGGGGACGACTACTTCCAGAAAATCCCTGTCAGCGTGGTTAGTGGGAGTTGAATCCCCGAGACTAAATTTTTTCAAGTTCTGGAAAAGAACTTGGAGGTAAGTTGGGAAACCCGGGCTCTTTTGGCCTTGGTTAGTTTCTACTTACTTCTTCCACCAACCGGGCTTGTCCTTGAAGCAACATGGGCATGAGGGCCTTCTGCAGCAGATACACCGAGCCTGGGTACAGCATTCGCCGTCCAAAGGTGTGAGCCACTATGAAGCTAGCAAGACACGATGGGAGACAAAGAGACACAGGAATAAGGAATCACCCAGCCTAGGTGATCACAGACTCCCCAGCCATGGATGGCAAATCTTGTTAATGGGAAATTATGTGTTTTTCACCCTGGGCATAAGCAAGCAAGACTCCGAAGTCAAACTAAATCACAACTATAATCCCAGTTTTCAAATTCCATTACTTTTCCTATTGGCCAGGCAACTGCAACATTCCATTTATTTCAGCCAATACTTTTACTTTTACTGTTTTTCTTTTATTGAACTTATACCCCGCCCCTCTAGACAAAGTCTACTCGGGGCGGCTTACACGAGTAATAAAACACAATAAAATAACAGACATAATAAAACCTACTAACTAAAGAGCTAAAGTCTATAGTCTAAATAGCTCTGTCTAACAATCTTGACTAATCACCACTTAGACAGAATTCCTAGCATTTTAAGGCCTACCCAGCCTATCACATACTGGAGGGAGGGAGGGAGGGAGAGGGAAAATTCTGTCTCATCACTATGGATAGGATTTTTGGGACTAACAAATCCCATAATTCTCCATTCCATGATTTTCACCTGACAGACAGAAACCTAAATGTGTCTCACCTGAGAAAAAGGCCTAAACTGGAAAGCAGGCCTAGCTCTACCTTGCTTCCTCTTCAGAAAGAAAACTCCCGGTTGCACCAGGACAGAAACGGGAAGTTTGGACAGAGCTGGGCTTAGTTGGTCTCAAAGATTTCCAATTTAGGCCTCTCTTCGAGGGGAGCCACACTTGGATATCTGTAAGATATCTCTATGTCAGGTAGAACTCCCAAAATGGAGAATTATGGGATTTACATATACTCCAAAAAATCCCAAAATACCGTCCCTACTCATTAACTCCCTTGAGCCATGAGTTCCTGAAGTCTCTGCCAAAATTGTATTAAAGGTAAAGGTTCCCCTTGACATTTCAAATGTATTAAAGGTTCCCCTTGACATTTAATCCAGTCATGCCCGACTCTAGGACACGGTGCTCATCCCCGTTTCCAAGACATAGAGCCAGCGTTTGTCCGAAGACAGTATCAGTGGTTATGTGGCCAGCACGACTAGACACAGAACGCCGTTACCTTCCCACCGAGGTGGTTCCTATTTATCTACTCGCCTTTTTACCTGCTTTCGAACTGCTAGGTTGGCAGGAGCTGGGGCAAGCGGCGGGAGCTCACTCCATCGCTTGGATTTGAACTGCTGATCTTCCGACCTTGCAGCCCAGAAGCTTTCTGCGGTTTAACACACAGCACCACGTCCCCACAAAATAAATGTATCACTTGTTCATTACTTGCATTTATATCCTACCTTTCCTCCAATGAGCTCAAGGCAGGCACTTGGCTTTTCTCCTTCCTGCCTTAGCCACACCATAACCCTATGCTGTATGTAAGATGAAAGAGAGAGACTGGCCAGAGGTCAGCCTCATGGGTCAGTAAGGAGCAGAACCTAGAGTTCCCAGCCTCTAACCTAACAATCTAGCCACTACCACACAGGCAACAACATGCACCTGCAATGCCCCTGACTTGCCCAGATTTTTCATCATCCCTCTTGTTCCAGAGCTATGTCTAATCAATAATCTTCTTAATACTGTCCTGGGCCCTGTACTTGTTCTTTGGATGCTGGCCAATCACCACTCATTTTGTCTCAATGTTCCAAAAGTTTTTTAATTGGGCCAATCATCTGACATCCTTCCGTCTCAGAATCCATTCCTCTTCATCTAAGTGGCCAATCAAAAGAACAGATTTTGGGACAGCAAATCTTTCAAGAGCTAAGCAATGCCTCTAATATACCAGGCCAATCAAAAGAACAGATTTTGGGACAGATTCTTTCAAGAGCTAAGCTATGCCTCTAATATACCAAAGCCTATACAGTGGTGCCTCGCAAGACGAGCGCCCCGTTTAACGACGAAACCGCATTACGACGAACTTTTTGCGATCGCAAAAGCGATTGCTTTACTATGCTTTCAATGGGGGAATTTCACTTTGTGATGATCGGTTCCCTGATTCGGGAACCGATTCTCGCAAAACGACGATTTTCGGCCAGCTGATCGGCGGTTTCAAAATGGCCGCCGGGTAAAAAATGGCTCCCGCTCTTTTCTGGGACGGATTCCTCGCTGCACGGGCAGCAAAAATGGCCGCGCTATGGAGGATCTTCGCTGGACGCTGAGTTTCAAGCCCATAGGAACGCATTAATCGGGTTTTAATGCGTTTCTATGGGCTTCTTTATTTCGCATTACGACGTTTTCGTTCTACAGCGATTTCGCTGGAACGAATTAATGTTGTAATGCGAGGCACCATTGTACATCAGATACACAGAAGCCAATGGCACAGCTGCAGGAGGACACTCTTACTGCCAAACCAATCACTGTTATCAAGGATTGGCCTACACACATTATTGGCCTACAATTCTTCCATTTCCTCACATCAACTATACTAGCCAGGAAAAATCGAAATACAGCATCTGAATTTCCTCACATCAACTATACTAGCCAGGACTTTGGAAAAATCAAAATACAGCATCTGGAGGGCCACACATCATCATCATCATCTGAGAACTGCAGAGCTGGAAGAGGGACCCTATGGCTCATCAAGTCCAGCCCCAGTCAAAGAGGCACAGTGGGGAATTCAATTCACAAGCTCTGGTTCTACAACCGGAGACCTAAACCAGTGGTTCTTAACCTTTGTTACTCAGGTGTTTTTGAACTGCAACTCCCAGAAACCCCAGCCAGCAGAGCTGAGGGTGAAGGCTTCTGGGAGTTGCAGTCCAAAAACATCTGAGTAACAAAGGTTAAGAACCAGTGACCTAAACCACTGAAATATCTGGCCGTTATCCATCCCTGCCTTACATTTGACCTCAATCTGTCCAGGAGCTCCTGATTCCCCCAGTCACTCTTCCCTTCCATCACAAAGATTAAAGCAAAGGCACGGAGATTACCTGGCAATCTGGCAGGGCAGCTTCTTGAGGGTATGCAGAAAGCCATTGACTGCACTTCGGTGCTTTGGTTCTGACCGCAGCAGGGGGACATGGCCCGAATCTGACCTGCAGAGGAGTTCAGGAGAATATGGGAGGCCACCATGATGACCTTTCTTTCAGACTGTGGTTAACCTCCTGAGGCTTTGTTACACCTGCCAAAGGTAGACAGTGCAAAGTAGCAGCAGCTTCCCCTCTTGGCAATTCATAAGTTCCTGCTTGGATTTTTGGGTGTGTACTGATCTATTAGATTGGTGAGAGCCCCCAAATCCAGGAGGGAGCTTGTTAAATATCAGGGAGAAGCTGCTGCAAGTTGCACCCACGTGCCTTTTTGGAGCCGTAGCTAAGCAACAGGATTTTGGCCTGTGAGCTTTGGCACTTGCAGTATGTTATTTTTATTTTTAATTCAATTTAATTTGCATCGCATCCTATTTTTAACCTGCCTTTCTCTCCATAACAGGACTCAAGGCAGCTCGCAAGGTTAAAACAAGTCAAATTAAAACAAAATAAACAGCACATTAAAATACAAACTAAACTATCATCTTAGTCAAAATAGGTCAAGTGATTAAAAGCATTAACTTTCTCCATTCCGGTATGAATGGTGAAGGTGCATAAAAGCTGGTCGCTGTGCATGCCCCCACAGAAAATGGGCACATGAGGAGAACAAGGAATCATACACACGGCCAGACAGTATGAATAAGATGTTGGAAATTAGTCCTATAGGACAGTGGTCCCCAACCTTAGGCCTCCAGATGTTCTTGGACTACAACTCCCAGAAGACTTCACCACCACCTCTGCTGGCCAGGATTTCTGGGAACTGAAGTCCAAGAACATCTGGAGGCCCATGGTTGGGGACCACTGCTATAGGATTGTGTGAAATGTATACATACTGGCTAGTGAATGTGCAGCCTTGTGGCACAGTGGTTAAACTACTGTACTGCAGCCAAAACTGTGCTCACGACCCGGGGTTCAATCCCAGGTAGCCGGCTCAAGGTTGGCTCAGCTTTCCATCCTTCCGAGGTCAGTAAAATGAGTATCCAGATCGCTGGGGGTGGGGGGCAATGTGTAGCCTGCATAATTAACTTGTAAACCGCCCAGAGAGTGCTTGAAGCGCTATGGGGCGGTATATAAGCAGCACGCTTTTTGCTTTGCTAAATCTGTGGACGCTAGGCATTGTAGCCTGGGAATGTGCAGAATCCCTTGTTGTGGATCTCAGATGTTCCTGAAGTTCCCAAATGTCGTTTTTGGAAGCTGTGCACATTGACTGGCTAAGATGTAACCCCCCCTCCCAAATGCCATTCAAACAGGGTCTCATAAAGATGTTGGTGAGCCAGCTACAACACAATATTGTGAATTAGAGCAGGATCGTCTGACATCAGCTTCTTCTAGAAAGAACTGGTTCTCCTCAAGAAAGAGAATGGGGATGGGCAGGTGAAAGGAGATTAGAAAATGCAAGGCTTTCGTTATTTCTTGCTGCCTACCCACCGGCTTGTAGCCTCGTCCCACCGGAAATCCACGGGCCAACTCCTGAAGTCAAAGTTGTAGCTGGCAAGCTTCTTCTGTGAGGCCCAAAAAAAGAGGGGGGAAAATTAAAATACAAACTTGGATTATTGCATTTCGCAGGTCAAAGGAGAAGAAATGTGTGGCCCTCTGAACATTGCTGGATTACAACTCCCATCAACCCTAGTTTAAAATAGCCAATGGTGTGGGATGGTGGATATCCAGATCCACCTCCTTGCTTTCAAGCCGGTCATAAGATCAGCCTTCTCCCGGTTTAATTGCAAAGGTTAATGAGCCCATCTGGCAGATCAAGACAAGCACAGAACAAAGAACAGGTTGAAGAGATGGCAAGTCCCACAGGAACTATTCTAAATGGATGGAGACCCAGTGTGGTTCAATGGTTAGAGCGCCAGCCAAAAACCTGGGAATACAGGTTCGGATCTACACTCCACTCTGAAACTTAACTGGATGGGCCAGTCTCACACGCTCAACCTGACCTGCCTCATAGGGCTGTTGTGAGGCAGAGGAAAGCCAGCCAGGCAAGCCACTGGGGGTGGGGGTTTGAGGAAAAGCAAGATACCAGTGGAATCTACAAGTAAAACAGATCAAGGAAATAAAATAAATACTTGGCAAGAGGACAAGCTGTGGAACAGATACGAGGGACTATAGTATCTCCTTATGAGATCACCCATTACTGATAGTTATAGAGCTGGAAGTGACCACAGTTTTGAGAGTCTAGAGCCATTTTAACCGTCCTGCAGGTCTCAATAAATCTGGGGAGGGGGGGGAATTCAGCCCCCAAAATTGCAATTTGCACCTTGGCAGCGTCTGGGCAGATGAAATTTGCTATTCATACCACAATCTCCCCTCCTCCGGAGAGAAAATGGTGGCTTAAATAGAAATAAGAAGTGATTGGGTCATCTTCTCCTTTCTAAAAAAGTGCTTTTAAGCCTGAGAAAGAGACAGGGGAAGGATTGTGTATAAATGGCAAATTGTGTTCCGCAGGGGTCTCTGGAAACATCATCTGCCATTTTGGAGACCCATTTGCAGGTATGTGTTGCAGTGTCTGGGAAAGCTTGGCGGGCTGCATGCAGCTTATGGGTTGCCCTCTGTTCATCCTTGCTCTTGAGGAAACACTTTTTATACAACCTCTCCAGGGTGGTCATAGTTTTTCTTGCGGCCTTCATAGTTTCAGTAACTGAATCTTTTTACTCCAGGGTGAACAGAGAAAAGAGAGAGCCTCCTGAGTCACAGCTCTCCCTATTCAAGAAGCCTAGCGTTGGTTCTGACTACAGCTCCCAGAATCCCCCTGGCTCAAGTAAGGAAGACTGTAATTCCAATAAAGAGCCATTTGGGACAGTACCTGGGAGTCACGGTGCCCTTACCTTGTGCTCGGGTGTCCCATACCGATGTGCATCCTCAAGGATAGTGATGAACTCAATGTACTGAGGGTTTGTCCAGCGGCCTATGCCTGAAGGGAAGAGTCCTCATGGTCAGTGGCTAGAGCTCCAGAGCTTTGTGGTCCATTCTGCCTGAACACACCTCCATGATGCCAACTTCCCTCTCCCCTCCCTTCCTGTCTCTCCTGAAACAACCACCCTTTCTGGAAAGCCTTTGATTCCACCTGTCCCCAGCCCTCACAAATACAAATATTTTTCTCCCCTGTCACTCTTGCACCTGTCATCCTTTCTCCTCCATGCTTATTCTCTCCCTTCTTCTGCACTGGAGACCCCTCTATCTGCACATTTGGTTTTTATCTGCCCACATTCACTGGCGGCACCACTTAACAAGACAACTAAGGTCATCTGATTCCTTATCATTGCTACTAAACCCCGCTGAAATCGAGGGACATCCCGACTCGGGGTCAAACCAGACATTACTAAACCCCGCTGAAATCGAGGGACATCACATCTCCCGACTCAGGGTCAAAACAGACACAAGCTTAGCCCTATTCAGAAGGAGTGCTCTCTTAATTGGTGAAAGTCATTTGCTTGTCACAACATGTGCTTTTTCTCAACAATACAGTATATCTTACATGTAGTGGACTCTGTTCTGCAACTAGTCTATGGAAGATAAACACGGGCTTAAGTCTGAGTCCTGAGTCACGTATCTCTGAGGAAATTTTGTGGGCAGGTTAATCAGTGGCATTTCCCTTAATATCTAGTTTGACACCAAGCAGACTTATACTGTACCTTTCAGATCCCAGGAAGGGCTCACCTCTGAGGCAGGCAATCCCGGCCAACAAGAGCATCAAGGTCCCGACATAATGGGAGATAGCAACCACTTTTGACACAGTGAGATATCCTAAAGGTGGAGACAAAAAAAGAAAGGGAAAATGATCAGAATAAGGCTTTGGAAATCAAAATCTGCTTTGTCCTAGACGATTTCCTTACAGAGGAAATTATATGCCAGTGGCTGGGGATAATGGGAACTGTAATCCCACCACATGTGAAGGATGCCAGGTTGAGGGAGAGCTGTTGCAAAAACAGTGAGAATTCTGAGGAAACATCTGCAAGGCAGGACCGAGTTTTCCCAACACGCTGTGACATTTGTCATGCAAGCAGCACAAAGGGCCCTTTGTCAGACAGTGCCGCAGCAACTGCCTTGTGACTCCTCACTCTGGACTGTACTTCTTTAAGTAGCAACCATGAGAAAGCCACACAGTCTTCTAGGCAAACAGTGCTGCTCTATCTTCTCCCAGTTGAGAGCCTCCCTTCTTGCCACAAACGTAAATGGGAACGGTATTTTTAAATGGCTTTGGTAACAGGAGTTGACCGCCCTTAGTGGGCATCATTATGCATGAGTATTCTAGGCAAGGCGAGATCTCTAAAGGAAGGTCTTCGGCAGAGATGCAGCAGCTGGACAGGAAACTGCCAGGCACTGCAGACGAACAGCTGCGTACTGGCACGGACTGAAAAATCCAGCACCAACCAACTCAAAGTGCAGGCGCTGGACGAAAGGTGGCATGACCTGAGCAATCGGGCACACAGAGGCATCTGGGGTGCCTTTTTGGGGGGTCTCTCCAATATGTCCAATTTATTTCCTACGGCACGCCAACAAGTCTCTCTTTTGAGAGACAGTTGAGAGTTCCAGCATGAAATGAGGGATCTGCTGTCCTGCATAGGAAGACCACAGTCTTCTTAATGTGGTCCATCTGGGGCCTGCAGATACCCTTTTGGCCATTTTCATGCCATAAGCAGCATGCCAAAGTTCAGGCCCGCTACCCTTTCCTTCCCCTGCATAAAAGGAGATAAGTTGTCCTGCCCGTCTGCAAGGTCTCCACGGTACAGCAAGGCCATCTGGCACTCTCCTAAACCATAAAGAGCTGCAGCAAGGCTGTGTTTTTTTGTTTGTTTGGTTTTTTGCCTGTTCTTGGCAGTTCTGCAGCCTCTCAGGAGGGGAGCCCCCTAAAACCAGGAAGATTTGTGAAGGCCGTTCCCCCACGGACACTGTTTTCACAACGGCTGATGCCAGCTCTCGCAAGATTTCACAGGTTAACCCAACCAGGAGATGAGAGCCGGGCTGTTTTCTTCATGTTGAGTGGCACTTAGCCATAGGCTTACTCTGTTTGTGAGCCCTACAGCAGAGCTAGCACACATCCTGCCAAGAAACTCACACCGAGCAGCAGCGCATACCTTTTCTGTACAGGTAAAACACAGCGAGCGGGGAGGAGTAATAGGAAATGGACCACAGTACGGAAGCCTGCAAGGACAGAGTAAAGGAAGGGGGTTAAGACACACTGAGAACCAACTTTTCCGAGGTGTTTTGAAGAAAGGGGAGGGCTCTCCATAGATGCACTGGGTTAAGAAAGGAAACCAAGAGCATTCGGCTAAGTTTAAAAGCTTGACTAAATAGGGAACCGGAAAGTGCCACTGGGTTAAGAAAGGAAACCAAGAGCATTAGGCTAAGTTTAAGAGCTTGACTACATAGGGAACCGGAAAGTGCATTGCCCAGAAGTAGGGGGGTATCCATAGCTACCAGCAAAACCCACAGACCTTCAGGGAGTGAAGGGCAAGTGAAGACGCTTTAATTATCTACACCTAAGAAGCCTCTGCTTCTCTCAACAGGCTCTTAAGAAACAGGCAACAGGGGAACTGAGGGAGCGCTTGAAACTGGAAAGAAAGGAGTCAGCATGCAGAACAAAGTGGTAGACGTCAGGGGCGTACCATTTCAGAATGAAGGTGCGAGGAGCTTCTCAAAAATCCAAAGTGCAGGAAGACAGAACATCAGACAGATGGGTATGGTATTTCCTAACCCTAACAAGCTACCAGATTATTATTGCTAAAATTGTAGACTAAAAGCATGCATATATATACAAACTGCACAGGGGTATTAAAATGCCCCCCTGCATTTGATGTGGTTCAATCCAAAATCTTGTCACCTCTGTCTATATGGCCTCCCTGTGTGAGACTTGATCTGGACTATAGCAGAAAGAGTGAAGGCAAGAGGCGAAGGGGACGACAGAGGACGAGATGGTTTGACAGTGTCACCGAAGCGACCAGCATGACTTTGGCCCAACTCCGGGAGGCAGTGGAAGACAGCAGGGCCTGGTGTAATCCGGTCCATGGGATCACTAAGAGTCGGACATGATTTAACACCTAAACAACAACACCTATAACAACGAATAATGACTTAACAACTAAACAACAACAACACCTATAACAACGAATACCTGACATTATTACTTTTCTGGGACTACAATGCCCATAACCTCTCAGCTGACATGCTTATAAAAGCATCTTTTGCATGCTCCTAGAAGTAGCAATGGGGTGCTAGCATTACCAGTTCTTTTGCAAACAGCCAAATTATGTTTCCGAATATCCTCTCCAAGATAAAATATCCCCAATAGTAACACTACTAATGGAAAGAATCATTAGAAGAAAAACAACAGAAAACTAACACAGCAGGGAGTTCAAAGAACTACAATCATTCTACTTCATGTACTAGCACGTGAGTAGGTTAGGCTGTAGGTTAGGCTGTACTCCTGTGTGAGTCACTTGTTCTCAACAAACTGCTTGTTTCAGATAGACGACTGGTTAACTATTACAGCCCTAAACTTATCCAAAGTGGGCTCAAGTTACAGGAAGGCAGATTTTGGTTGAATATTAGGAAAAACCTCCTGTTAGAGCAGTACATCAATGGAACCAATGACCTCGAGAGGTGGTGAGTGATCCAACGCTGGAGGCATTCAAGAGAAATTTAGAGAACTACTTGGTAGATATCCTTTGATTTGGATTCCTGCTTTGAGCAGGGGGTTGGACTAGATGGCCTTATGGGCCCCTCCCAACTTCATGGTTCTGTGATTCTATGATTCCATTCTACACCTTATTCTGCTGCACAAGTACATCAGCACCACATCACTATAGGGGTGATGGGAAAGGAGAGACTCACCAGTGCAAGGATGCTGTCTGCATGTTTTTCAAGAGTTCGTGGTTGGTAATATGATTCCTGTGGGATGAAATGAGATATGAATGATTAGATTTCAGCTTCTAGAACTGGCAGCCAGCATGATTATAGGCTAGAAGATTTGGAGGCTCTCACCCCCAAAAAGTCACTTTCCAAGTTCTGAGCTCTTGATTTATTTATTTTTTTAAATCTTCAGAGGACTCACAGGCGCTAAAGATATTCACCAGTCAACTTTTCATTCATTTTTGCTGGCTACAATATTCCCACTCGTGGAAGACTGTCCTCTTTTCTGATAATGGTCTGGTACCCATATGAATGTTGCAACCTTCACAGGTTTGCACCAAAACAGCCATTCTGATGACTCACATGGTACACAAGATTTTACACAACGACTACAGTTGAGGTGGGGAACACTTGTGTCTCCAGATACAGTGGTGCCCCGCTTGACGATTACCTCGTTAGATGAGGAAATCGCTTAACAATGAGTATTTTGTGATCACTATAGCGATCGCAAAATGATGTTTTATGTTTTTTGCTTCGGGAACTGATTTTTTGCTTAACAACAATCGAAAGAGCTGATAGTTGGGTTTTCAAACTGGCTCCCACTGTGTTTTAGGATGGATTCCTCGCTATACAGGCACCAGAAAATGGCCGCCCTATTGAGGATCTTCGCTGAACGCTGAGGTATTTCGGCCATTGGAACGCATTGAACCGGTTTTCAATGCATTTCAATGGGTTTTTTACTTTCGCTTGCCGACAATTTCATTCTACATCGATTTTGCTGGAACAGATTATCCTCGTCAAGCGAGGCACTACTGTATTGTTGGTCATCAACTCCTAGCATCCCACATCACTGTCCATGCTAAAGTTGAGGGACTTGTAGTTCAACATCTGGACAAACTAGCCATCCTCTATTTCTGAACTGTTCAATGGCAGGTAATTAGCCCAGAAGAGAATTCTAAAATGGGGTATCCATCTGAAAAGCCATGTTACTGGAAAAGGTTGCTTTCAGTCTTGCATTCAGACTGGTAAACCGGGGAAGTTGTGGGCTGGTTATGAAATCCAATGTTTTTTTCTTTTTTTAAAATAAGAATCTCAAGGTCCACCAACCGGAAGATGGCTTGGTGCAAGAGGTTGTTTACTGCAGTTGTGGGGGGAAAGCACACCCAGATCTACTTGTACACATTGAGGGGATTTACAGCAGATGGACCTCTGGCCACTTGAAAAATGGCAACAACATAATGACCTTCTCACTCTTACTATGCATTATACTATTGAAAGGAACAAATCTTAGGATGAGCATATCAGGAATTGTTTTAAAAAAATGAGAACAAAATGTTATGGCATCTTAAAGACTAATTGCTATATTTACAGTGGTGCCTCACTTAACGGGCGCTCCGTTTAGCGATGAAACCGTATAGTGAAGAACTTTTTGCGATGTCTATTTACAGTGGTGCCTCACTTAACGGGCGGTCCGTTTAGCGATGAAACCGTATAGCAACAAACTTTTTGCGATGTCTCCTATGCGTGTTTTTTTTGCCTTGTGTCCTATGCGGTTTTTTTGCTTTGTGATGATTGGTTCCATTTCGCTTACCGATCATCGCAAAGCGATGATTTTTAACAGCTGATCGGCGGTTCCAAAATGGCCGCCGGGTAAAAAAATGGCCGCCCGCTATGTTTAGGGACGGATTCCTCACTTAAGAGGCAGCGAAAATGGCCGCCGTATGGAGGATCTTCGCTTTAAGGTGAGTTTTAAGCCCACGGGAACGCATTAAACAGGTTTTAATGCGTTTCTATGGGCTTATTAAAATCGCTTAACAATGAAATTGCTTAGCAGCGATTTTTGCTGCATGGATTAACGTCGCTATGTGAGGCACCACTGTATCTGCCATATTAATGTGAGCTTTGATGGACAAGTACACTTCCTCAGACATGAAAGTGGGACTACATGGTAAATATTTATACATCCCCCACAAACCAAAGAAATTGTTTGTTTCCTGGGCATAAGTTGTTGATAGTGTGGCATTTCACACACAGTAGTGACCTTTAAGACCTTTGTTGATATTCAGTTAACCTCCCAGGATGACCGGTGGCTGAATTAATACCAGGTTATAGATGACTAGAAGGAGCAACATGGGAATGAGTATCTCTCGTCACCAATAGGGCTTGTGAGGTGGAGCTGGTTTGTTAGTAAGGAAATCTAGCTGGGAAATAGCAGATACAATGTAAGATTTTACATTTGATAGTGGCCTAAGAAAACCTGGTACACATTGTCCACCTGAATCCACCGAGATTGGTATTTGTTTTTGCCTGATATGCTAGCACAGTTTAGCATGGCTACCTCTTCTACAACTACAATTCAGAATAAGCAGAAGTCCCTTTTTGCACAGAAATACTAGCCTCCTTTCAGTCCTGGAGCTCAAGACAAATGACTGGGCTCAGAATCCTGTAATTCAAATGTGGCTGTTTGCACCAGATTCTTACTGAGAGGGCCTGGGGTTGTGTTATAAAAACCAAGCCTCTAGTGGAAAATTAAGCCCTAGGGACACCGCATTGGGGAACGTAGCAACGCTATCTTTCCTACAGTAGAAAACCAGCAAATCCCTCCAAATTGGCACAACAAAAGCTGGCGGCTGACACAATGCACTTGTTAGCAGTGTGATATGCACCGCATATACAGCCAGCATCTGTGTGGGTTAGGATGGCATAAGATGATGATGATCAAGAAAAATGGGCAAGATCTTTTTGCATAGCATCAAAGATTGCACAGAACATTATCTTCTGAATGGTAAAAGATAAGCCCGGGTGTGTTACCCTTTGCTTTGCAGAATCACGGTGAGGCACAAATGCGATTAAGAAATATACATTTTCCCGGGAAAGCTCATTCTTGCCGATAGAAACCGTCAATGTGTTTATCCTTACTGCTGCAAGACATCCCAGCTGCAAAACTCTGAAGTGTTCTGTTTCAGATTTTGGGACAAAGAGGAGACTCAAGGCAGGTAATACATCTGTGCAGGCAGGGTTGGGGGTCATAAGGTCTACCAGAGGTTGTTGGATTTCAATTCCCATCAGCCTCCACCATCAGCTGCACTTCCTCCAACCACTGGGAGCTGCAATCCCACAAAAATCAGGAGAGCCAAACAGTCTTCCGCCCCGGCTGTTATGTGACACGGTTAGTTCAGAGGCTACAGACTTCAGATGTATGTGTCACACCATACAAAAACAGCTATCACCAGAAGATAGGGGGTGGACGTTTTATGGATGTTCTTACAAAACAGGAAAAAGGTCCCTGATTTTTCTAGCTATTTCCAAAGAGCAAGTGTCTACTTTACTATTGCCATACTGCTACCACAATTGTGACAGTCCTCTATGGTGCAGGAGGGTGCTCGGAGCATGCTGTGACACCACAGAGCCCTCTGAGGCGTTAGGCAGAACATTGCACAGAGTTTAGGAGAGGAAAGAAAGCTGAGGGGCAGAGAGGCAAATCCAAAATGGTAGAAGATTGGGAAGCCCTGTATCACTGCTACGCGAGATCCCAGGAACCAAGAGCCTAGGGACACCACAGCCTTTGAACTATGGGTCTGAAGAACCTTTTATCATGTGGAGAATCAAAGAGGATTATCCAAAACTTCTGTTCTATTCCCTACAAAGGCTAAGTAGTCATTAATATATAATGTTTCGAAGATACTGATTCACCAATGTGTATGCTGGGAAGAACACAGCACATTGTAAGAACTAATATTAAATTATCCAAAAGCAGTGGGTACTGTACTGTCTGCAGGCAAGCCAATGGAGATGTATATAAAGAGGCCACTAACACAGGAGAAGGGACGTGGTGGCGCTGTGGGCTAAACCGCAGAAACCTGTGCTGCAGGGTCAGAAGACCAAGCAGTCGTAAGATCGAATCCACGTGACAGAATGAGCGCCCGTCACTTGTCCCAGCTCCCGCCAACCTAGCGGTTCGAAAGCATGCAAATGCGAGTAGATAAATAGGGACCACCTCGGTGGGAAGGTAACAGCGTTCCGTGGCTAAGTCGCACTGGCCATGTGACCACGGAAGATTGTCTTCGGACAAAATCCTGGCTCTATGGCTTGGAAAAGGGGATGAGCATCGCCCCCTAGAGTCAAACACGACTGGACAAAAATTGTCAAGGGGAACCTTTACCTTTAACACAGGAGATGAAGTAACCTGGTCATCCCATTTCTCAGAGTGCAAGCAGTGTATGCAAACATACCATGTAACTAATATTTTTCCTCCAAATAGGTTTGACTAGAGAGACATGCCATGACAATGATTTTCAGTCTGAGTTTTGGGAACCCCCTGAGCCATTGGAAAGCTTAGCAAAGGTACCTTATTGAGGAGATCAGTATTAGCTATCACATCCATACACCTTGGAAGGAAAATAAAAGTTTGCAAAAAGCAGTTTGCACACATCTTTTTGAAGTACCATGAGTTGAAGCCAGCCTTAGCCCATATCCACCAAAACTTGTGTGACATGTTAATTGTGGCTAAGCTAAGTTCCATGGATTTCTCTTCGTTTGCTCTTCCCATGGTGCGGTCACAACCCAACATTCTGCAGGAAGCACTGTTAAGTTTATACAGGGAAACGCTGAAGGGAGCTAACAGGACTTTGGGGGCTCCCAAATTCTTTGCAACATCCAGCAGATCCCTGGGAGACGCTTAGGAGTTGTTTATTAGCCCAGTCAAGGCAGATAACATTCTCCGAAGCTTTGATGTCATTTAACTAGGACTTGTTGTTCAACTCCTCCTGCATGGTGGTTACACTTCCCCTTGAGAATCAGGTTCACAGGTTTATAAGAGCTTCCTCTTGAAAGCCTTGTGGGTGGGGGTGGGAAACTCCATTGCATGTAGTCACCTCTAATATCTTGTGTTGATACATCTACTGCCTGCTATTTACCAACAGATAGCCTTGTGAGAATTAACCTTGGGTGGGTGCCTTTTGACTCCCATCAACGCCACCAGGACAGCCCATGATTGAGTGACCAAAACACCCAGATGGCCAAAGGTTCACATTCCTGCATCCATCCATCCATCCATTACTCATGCAATATAATCTGATCTAATTGTGATGTGAAGCACACAGAATTGGACAAGAAGCTTCATTTGGATCAGAATGAAGCCAGGTTAATATTTGGGACCTGTTATCAGAATGTATTAAAAAACCTTTATGAGCTTCATATTTGCAGACGGATGCATTTCTAAATGCCTGGTTTCACCGTTAAAAAACATTTGAGAGCATATGAAGTTGGGGAAGAGCAGATAATCACAACAGAGCATATTTCAAACTCAAGACTGTTGTAGGTTCATTCCACAGTCCTGGTCTCATTCCCCTCAGGTAGCACTGGGAAAGATCATAGACTGAAACTCTGGAGAGCTGTTACCATTCAGTATTAATGAATGAGCCACAATGTAACCGATAGCCTGACAAAATATGAGACAGTACCCTTTTTTTCTAACTGACTGACCTTTGAAATCATTCTTGCTAACCTGGCTTGAATTAAATAGGCTTATCAATTTAGTCAGGTAGAGACTGAGAGAGGAATTTCACATATCTAAAATTCCCTGTCAAGATACTGGAGGCATACCAATTTTAATGGACTGTAGCTACCAGCAAGAAAAAAAAGACCAAACGTAACATAGTCTATAAAAAAACCCATAGCTTTGACCCAAACAGGGCTGTTAATATCAAGACCTTTTGACCTCTTGGAATTATGAATTTATAGGGTGACCCATAAGTCAAGATGACTTCACAGCACTAACAATGCCAGTTACTAAAGGCACAGAATTTTACAGTATTTCTTCAGATACTCGCCTGAAGCTATATGTAGATTTCTTTTTACTGACTGCTTCTAATTTTGCTTTCAATTCTCTTTGCTTTCCTACAATGCTTGTGTAACTGATTTAACTTGAGCAAGTTAGGAACTGCGTTGAAAACTTATGGACCGAGATGGGGCTTTTTTTTTAAAAAATCCATATTTTATTTAAGAGACTAGGAGATTTTAAGAGAGGCAAACATCCAACAGGGGCAGCCCTGCCAGATCAAAAAAGTTTCACCGGTTGGATTTTTCTTTGCAAGGGACTAACAAAATGGTCCTCTCAGTAAAGCGTCTGTCACCCCAAATTTAAGAATGATGGGGAAGAAGAATAAGCCTAGAGTGGTCGAAATGACTAGATAAGCGGGGTATAAATACAATCAATCAATCAATGAATCAATCAATCAATCAATCAATCAATCAATCAATAGTATTAGTAGTATTAGTATTTAAATGCTGCATAACATGGGCTTTCTTTTAAAAGATCACCTTCTGGTTGCTGTTTCTAAGAGGTTTATTCTGTTTTACGTTCACTTCTGACCCCCTCCAACCACATCGATCACCTCCTCCTGTTTTGATAATATTTATAAGAAAAAATGAATAAATCCTTTCCTATGTCACACAATGGTCTATCTGGGGGAGGGGGCGAGGGGGAAAGGCTCAGATCCTAAGGTGGGTGTATTCTCGAAGGTGGGTGTGTCGTACACCGGATGAGGGTCTCCCCTCTCCAATTCTCCGGCACCCTCTACCTCCTCCTTCCAGATCCCATCTCAATGGGTCCCTTTACAACACGGGGAGACCAAAGGCAAACCAGACTGTCCTCCCCCTCTTTGGCAGAAATGGTTTGGCCCGCCCCAGCTTCAGTAGGGCGAGCGACATGGGGAAATACCAAATCTTGGGAGAGGGAAGGGGGGAGAAGAAAGCGACGGCGGTGGACTCACCCAGGATGGTTCTAGAAGGGGTTGGGACGGATCGTCTGCTTGATCCCTAATACGGCGAAGTCTGGGGGGACCTCTTTCCCGATAGACCCGGTATAGCCGCGGGCCTAAAATGCAGCTCAATAGCTTCGCCATCTTGGGACAAAGCCGGGCAGCGGCGGCAGGTGGGGGGATGGGGGAAGCAGGAGGAACGATAGTTCCGGGTTTCGTACAGGGCGGCAAAGGGGACAAAAAGAGTTTCGGTTTTTCCAGAACGCGGAGCTACCGTCAGTTTTTTTTTAAAAAAAAAATATTGTGGCAAAGAATGAAAGTTCTAACATTGAAGGGAATCGTAGCTCTATTTTGCTGGGTAATAAATCACTGAATCCAGAGAACTATTATTGCTCTTAAAGCTAAAAAAAATATAGCTCAGTGGGGAATTAAACTCACAACGCAAATACTCAAACTGCTGAGGTATTTTTTTAGCTTTAAGTGCTGCCTGCAAATGGTATAAGCTACCTTGGGTCCTTTTAAAGAGAGAGGCGGGGTTAAAATAGTTTGAATAAATAAAAATAAATAAAATAATAATCAGTTGGAAAGCACTCAAGAGAAATTTAGACAACCACCTGGCAGACATCCTTTGGTTTGTATTCTTGCCTTATAGGCCCCTCCAACTTCATGATTCTATGAAAGCAAGCAGCCCAAGAAATACAGGATCTAAAATGAAAATGTGGATTCTATTGGCTAATGTGATTGGTTTGGGATCTGGTTAGATGCACAGCAATAAAAATGAGAACAAAGGTGACCCGAAGCAGTTTCTGTAAGATCAACCAAGGCATGGGGAACAAAAGCCAGAAACTGGGCTTTCATAATGGATGGTGCCGTTTGTTCTCCTTTCCCCTGTACAACATGAAATCATGGACTTCAAGACAACAGTGAAAATGTTAGAAGCATTTCAAAGATAGATTTATCATGGGATGGTAACAGCCCGTCATCCTCAGACAGCATCAGGTTGAGCACTTACCGGATTTGATACATATGAACCCCTTGCCTCACCAAGCAGCCATTGCTTCACATCACACAAGAAGGGCGTTCCTCACATCATATATGTTTTCCTCAGTACCTATTTTAAGCCGCGAGGCTTCTCTGGCCTATGAGTCACTTCAGCCTTACAACAGAGGGAAGCCAAGATGATTTCTGATTTCAGTTTCCCTTGGAGTCTCACACACCATCTCTCATGAGGTTCTGGAGGGGTCTTCCAGCATTTGGAAGCAGCTTTTTATGGAGCTGCTAGAGGAAAGGAGAACCTGAGTTTTATCCCAACCCCCAGTTTTCCTCCTGTGTAGAAGCATCCTGTGAGCAGAGATGCATTCATAGAAAATCCATTGCTCCCAACTTGTGGGTCTCCAGATGTGGTGTTGTTGACACTCGCAGTAACCTTCCTAAAGAGCCACATAAGAGGGGGAAAAAAAGAGAAGAGAGAAGATCAATCAAATCAGGGCAGATTTGCTCTTAAAGACCTAATTTTAGCTCTTTGTTTTCAGGCAAGCAGTGAAGTATATTAGAATTATTGCAACCTTTGTATGCTGTTTTTAAGAGATTTTGCTTGTGAAGGATTTTTCTGGACAGAGGTGAATGCCAATCACTCCAATAGCAACCAATTGTTCCCTCTTTGTGTCAGAATTTGAAGAGAGCTCCACCTCTCTACTCAAGTCTCCTTTTCCTGCTCTTTTTAGTCAGATACATTAGTTAGAATCACTACATAGTTAATATGAATGTAGTTAATCAGTTAAGCTCTGTTTATGTAACTGGACTTCACTACAGAGTCTCATTTAATCTATTCAGAACTTTGAGTAAATTGAGGATTTGATCTTTTTCTTACCAGTGTCTCTCAGTGAATTGTTGAGACATAGGTGCCAGTTGATGAGAAATAACCAATAAGGGGTTGTCTACTGAGGAAAGACTTGAAGCTAGGTCTGCTCTATCTCCATTAATTCCCACCCTCTGCTACGTACTTAGAAGTTTCTAGCCACAGTTTTCACCCTCTGCCAAGAAAGTAGTTAATAAGGCTTCTTGGGACCTGATCTATATCATCCTTTCCAAACCTGAGATGCTAGAATAGCAGAGATGGGAAAATTTATAGAAAACTGTTAGAGAGCCCCCCAATTTCATTCAGGTAATTTTAAATTGGAGGAGGCAGTTTTTGATAGTTACATTGATGCTAAATAGCTACTTTAATTAAGGTTAGATGACTACAATAAAGCTTCAAGAGAGAGAGAGAGACAACAACCACCAACTGGAAAAATCCCATGTACTATTTTACTTCTCTTTCGAGCTTTGGAAGAAATGGAAATACTTACTGTATATAAATTTCTGAGCAACTAGTTTCTCATTTCCCCACCCTGACGAAAACCCTCCTGTGTGTTTCCCCCTTCCCCTTCATTATTATCTCATCTTCTTACTCACCCCTTCCGTAATACAGTTTTTATCTAATAACTGTGTGCCATCAATTCAGTTCTGACGTATGGTGACCCTTTCCTATGTTTTCTAGGTTGAAAGCACTAGGAAGTGTGGTTGACCATTCCCTTTTTCTAGGGGTGCACACTGGCTGGCTCTTCTCCCAGGAGGCACAGCGGGGAATAAAACTCTCAAACCTCTGACCCTGCAGCTGGATACCTAACTGAGCCATCCATCCCTCTCCATGTTAGTTTATAGATTCCCATTGGATCTCAGCAACACTCCCAATGAGCCAAAATTCAATTTCCTGGAACAGATGAGGAACATTCATTGGGGCTTGTCCACACTGCAATATCGCTCCCAGTTGTACTACAGTTGCTCTGGCTGTAGATTTAGATTATCCTGATACTGTTTGTCCACAGATAGGAAAGATGTTGCTGGGATGTGCTAGGTCATACCTGTCCACACGCATAGGGAATTGCTCCTTAAGTTCTCACTCCGAAAATGGGTCCACCCCTTTTGTCTATTTTCTCTGCCCTTTTCCCACTTAGTGCACTCTCTCTTCCCTTCCCTCCTTGCGTCTTGTGGGCACCAGTCTGCAGTATGAGTATCTTAGTCCAGCAGATGTGGACAACATCAGGTTCAGGAAAGATGGGTTATATATTTATTACATCTCCCTCTCCCTTCTCTTCAGCGTACAAGTTGTGTTCCTTTTGATAAGCCACGCAATCTAGCCTTCTCAGGCCATGCAGGATGCAGATGTGGCTTGGTGTCTGTATTTTTGGTCTTCCTTCGACAAAGTTTGTGTTATAGAAACAGAAGAGGTGTGTCCTAGCACAAGAAGCACAGGCGTCAGAACAGGGGGGTCTGGCGAGGTCAAAGCAAGGACCCATCCACATTGATAGCCTCTTCCTACCAATCAACAGACAGAGGAACCTTTCCTTTCAAAATGAGGGACAGAGTTTCTCAAACCTTCCTGGCTTTCATTGGTGGCATCTTCTTGTCCCTGCGATTCTGTCATGCAGAAAGTAAGAGGCAAGCTGCCTGCCTTTCGGATTCCATTTGTTTTGAGGGTTGACGTGAGTCTGTAAATATAGATGTATAAAAGGTGGGATGATGCCCACATTTCGTACCTTTGCTTCTAGGGTTCTGGGCTCTGGGGATTGGTTCGAATGTAGCTGATAGTGCGATGGAGGGAGTATCTGGGAGAAGGACATTTAACTTGAACAAATGTTTATGGAAATCATGACATATTAGCTAAACTCTCACATTAATGCCTGAAATCATATGCAAGTCTAAAAGGGTGGTGGAGACATGGGGGAACCTTAGCCCTGACCCCCTGACCCTGACAGTTGGCCATTATAGTGGGAGATGATGGGGATTATAGTTATTTAATTCGGAGTTCATGTATAATGTATTCAAAAATTAAAACTGACAATAGTTTAATAGTTTTAAGCCTGAAAAAGACTTGCACAATGGGGGGGGGGGAGAGAGAATCACATTGTTGGTCTATATACCTTGTACAGATATTTTTGTGTAATTGTATAATTTGTCAGACGGCATGCCTTCTGCCCAACCACTTCATTAGCTCTGGAGCTACTTTTACTTGTCCTCCACTCTTCCTCAGTAGCATGTTGGATGCCTTCCGACCTGAGGGGCTCCCCTTCCAGTGTCATATTTTTTTAGCCTTTTGTTTCTGTCCATGGAGTTTTCTTGGCAAAGATACTGGAGTTGCTGCTCCAGATGGATAGCATTTAGTCAGAACTCTCCACCATGATCTGTCCGTCTTGGGTGTCCCTGCATGGCATAGTCCATAGCTTCTCTGAATTACTCAAGCCCCTTCGCCACGACAAGGCAGCAATCTGTGAAGGGGGCAATCAGTGAAGGGGAAAAAGTCAATATGTAGAAGCTGAAAACATTAAGTATACAAATAATTACATTATTCCTACTTTAGTATGAGAGTTTGGAAGTTATTATTATTTGCTTTAAAAAAGTGTTTCTATTCTATGCTACTACTCCACAGCCAGGCTGTCATTATCATTGCTGTTGGTCCAATCTCTGAAGTAATTCTATGCATGGCACATTATTAATGCATTTCAATATATCCAACCACAAGCCAGAAAAATAATGAGTACTGCTCTCTGGTTCTCTCACAGTCAATTCTGATTTTTCACCTTATGTCTATTTTTTAAAATGTGAAAACCAAAACCTAACCTTCTCTTGGCATTTAGGACAAAGTGAACCATGTCATAAGACCTGAACAAATTATGTCAAAATGTCTCTAAAATGCCTTAAAATGCCTTTTACGCAAAACTGTGGAAAATACTGTACTGTACCTAGCAAATATTTGGTACACAGAAAACATAACAAAATGTCTCTAAAATGCCTTAAAATGCCCTTTAAGCAAAACTGGAAAATACTGTACACTGTACAGTACCTAGGAAATATTTGGTACACAGAAAACATACCTTTGTAACTAACTGTTACTTTACTTGTACTGCAACTTTGTAGCTATTCATTACATGGCTAATCATCCAAAAATAATCAGTTAGCTGAGCTTGTGAATTATGGCCCAGCGAGCAGGCTGTGTTTCACCAAACTACATACTCCATCAAGACATGTCTATAGAATGAAGCCATGATACTGATACTGTAAGCATGTAGTGCAACTGTAGTATCCTCTGTTACTTTGCCATTCTCATCATCATTAAAGGTTGTGATTGGGGTCTCATTTGTTTTATTTTATTTTATTTCCCTCAGTCATATATGCACAGAAGGGCTCTTCACCACAGCTGCCATGTCTGTGCCCAACCTGCTCTGGAGAGCATGAAATGGTGACCTGGTACTTTCACCATCAAGAGAAAACAACATTTCTGTTACGTAAAAAAGAAAACCACATAGAGCGGTCTCTGGCTGCCTGGGACCGCCTGGAGCTGCTTCAAAACTACTCCCTCCTCTTCATCAATGTGACAGACAACGAAACTGGTAGATACTGGTGTGAATCAGGCAATTATTATGATCTTGTGATAGTCACAGGTGAGCCAAATCTCATTTGAAGGATGCTGAAAAGCTGATTGCTACTACAGGATCCATCATTGTCCAAAATCCTCTTGTGTCGCTATGAAAATGGTATAATTCTTGGAGGTGAATTCCCTGAAGTTAAGTAATCACTATAGACATTATCAACTGCATGCGGAATCACACAACTCCATCTGCAGTTGACAGCATCTACAGTGATTTCTTAACTTCAGGCCATTTGCCTCCACTAATTATAAGGTTTGTGTCACACTGGTGTAACTAGGCAAGTGGATTTGGGCCATGGAATCTGCCTGAGATTTTACTGAATTCATAGAAAAATCCAAAGGCTAGGAATTTGGTGAGCCTTCACTTAGAATGAGGCTTGCTTGCTTGCTTGCTTGCTTGCTTGCTTGCTTGCTTCCTTCCTTGCTTGCTTCCTTCCTTGCTTGCTTCCTTCCTTGCTTGCTTATTTATTTATTTATTTATTTATTTATTTAATTATTTATTTATTTATTTATTTATTTATTTATTTATTTATTTATTTTAGATTGAGCATGTGACTACTGAAGAAATTAATTACTTTGTAGTCTGGTAGTACAGTGAAAAGAAGATAATTATTGTCAATAGGAGATCCAATTAGGGGTAGAGGAGGAGACAAAAAATTTCTCTCTCTCTCTCTCTCTTTCTCTCTCTTTACAGAACTCTCTATTATGTGTTCTCATGACTAAACATGCCCATATCTTTTAGTCTTTGCTCATAGGACTTGGTTTCCAGCCCTCTGATCTTCCTTTTTGCCCTCCTCTGAACTTGTTCCAATTTTTCATCATCCTTCTTAAAGTACAGAATCTAGAACTGGATGAGGCCTAACCAATGCCAGATGGAAGGGGGGCACCTCAGCCCAAATTTCCTGGGAGCCACCTCCTCACCAATTTACAGGCAGTCATTATGGAGAAGCCATGTGATGCAACTTTTCTCTGATTTGGGGAAGCACAAACAGAAAGTACCCTTGGGGAAAGTAGGAGGAAGGAAGGAAGCCTGAGAGTATGATCTACATGCAGACCAATGAAAGGACAAAAAGAGTGGGAGTGTGTATCTGTTTATAGTGGTGTAGTGGGTAAACTGCTGTATTACAGCCAAAACTTTGCTCACTGGCTCAAGGTTCATTCATCCTTCCCTCCTTCTGAGGATGGAAATGGAATTACTGGCAGGGGCCAATGTGTAGTCTGCATAATTATTTGATAAAGCACCCATAGAGTGCTTGAAGCACTATGGGATGGTATATAAGCAGCACGCTTTGCTTTTTGCTTTGCTTTATCTTGCCTATTCCCCCACAAGGCCAAATAAGTGGGTTTGTTTATCAACAGAATCCACATTCAGCGACTGAGGGCTTGAGGACATAGTCAGAATGGTGAATATTAAGCCAAAGTATGAGTTAGAGATTGTGCTAGAAGGAGGGGCTTCCTTCTGGATTTTTAAGATGGTTTTTTTTTAAGAAGGTGAGGCTCTTATGAGGACACTAATCCACGTAAGGCCATTCCTTAAGTATGTTTTCATCTGTTTTGCCTCTAAATGGTGGAAGGGCTTCTCCTACTGTGGTTCACCCTCTTGGCTCTGAGCCAGGCATTGGGAATTCAAAATGGCCGCTGCTGCTGTTGCCCCTCAAGAAGAAGAAGACCTCCAAACTGCCCTAACCCACCACAAGCCTGCCTTCAAATTAGGCCTAGAATTCAACATGCCACAGCATCAAGGGTCCCCCCTTTTCTCCCTTCCAGGCAAGAGGCAAATGCTGGAGAGCTGCCAGGCCGAGACGGCCTGCTACGTCTTGAGCTGTTCTGTTTCGGAGAGGGAGCTGCGTGGTGTGGACGTGGTGAGCTGGTGGGAGGACGGAAAGCAGCTCCAGAAGGAAGATGAGAAAAGAGGGTACCACATCTTCACAGGGCAAAGAGCATCTCAGCTCCACATGTGTCTGAAAAAGAAACCCAGAGATCGAAGAGTGAAGTGTCGCTTTGATCGGCAGGCCGAGATCAACTTCAATTTGACTGCACAGGGCCAGCATTTTTGTATTTATAACAGTGTGCGGACTTTTCCCCAAGGTAAGGTGCTTTCCAAATATCTGAGTTTCTTTATGTTGCAGGGTTTGTTTTTTTTTTAAATTTCTGGTTAAGTTTCTCTAGCTGCGCAGCAGAAATGCAGGGATTCACCGGGCAGAATTGCTTCAAGTTCCTTAGATTAACCCACTCCTTAAGCGGTCACTTAACATCTCAGTAACTCACTCTGAAACATTAGTAAGAGAAAGAATAAAAGCTTTTATTACTTACAGTTGAACAGATTGAACACCAGACTGACAAATGTGGATGCTTTCAGCAAATAGACTTAAACTAGGCTCAGACTGCCAAAGACTTAAGAGAGGGAAAAATCTCTGAGCAGAGAGGTGGGGATCTCTTTGAATTCAGAGGCAAGGAAGTATCATTGGTTAGTGTGAGATAGATTGACAGTCACCACAGCCCAGATCCCTACCAGCCAAACCTGCTAAAGGCAGCATGCAAGGTTGCAAATCCTCCAATGCTTTAAGGGGGAAATGAAGAACCTGGATGTGTTACTTTGTTGGAAATGGTAGTCCAAAATAGTACCTTTTCCAAAACTTAACTATGGAAATGCTGATCTCTTGAGAGGTACTGTATATGTATGTGCTAAACATACTTATTCCCCAAATGCTGCTTTCCTAAAACCATTGACAAATGTTTGGGGGTAAAAACTGGATGTGTTGCCTGAATTTATTTGGGTACAAATCAGCCACACAATTTCATTAAGCAGAGTTGAAGGGTGTATACTGCAGGTTGAGATCAATGGCCCAGAATATCCTCAAAGCTGTTTTCCAGCGCCACATTTCAAACAAATCATTCCCCCCTCCCCCGTCTGCTGTCTTCACACTCCAGTTTTCACACCCATACATGGTGATCGTGTAGATGATCTTGGCCTCTCTCTCCAGGGACACGTCCTTACACTTGATGATCTTTTTCTAGAGGCAAATCTCCTTGTGAATATTGAGAAAATAACAACACCTCCTAGCCCTCTTCACTTTCTTCAGAAGGATAAACTTCCTCTTTCTCTTGTACGGGAGAGCACAACATTCATGCCCTCATTCATCGGGGTAGTGGTTCACCCTTGTGCTTTAGTGCAGAGTGAGAGTCAAAGATTACCGTATTTCCCCCAGGTTTAAAAAGGGCTAGTTAGGGCTCTGCAACAGGCTCGCTCCTGTTTGCCTGAGGGAAAGGATCAAGAGTTTTGTCAAGAGAACAAGCTGGTCATCACAAACACTCTTTTCCAACAACACAAGAGGCAACTCTATACATGGACATCACCAGATGGGCAATACCGAAATCAGATTGATTATATTCTCTGCAGCCCGAGGAGGAGAAGCTCTATACAGTCAGCAAAAACAAGACCTGGAGCTGATTGTGGCTCTAATCATCAGCTTCTCATAGCAAAATTCAAGCTTAAACTGAAGAAAGTAGGAAAAAACCACTGGGCTCCTCAGGTATAATCTAAACCAAATCCCTTATGAATA